ATATATATACATAACTTTACATATACATAATTATACATAATTTTAGATAACTCTCTTTGTAGTCTATGTCATCAAAACTATTAAGGTTACCAAATGAAAGAATCTGAATCAATGAAACTAAACTTTGTGTTATATATATTTTTTCTAATTTTGTAATATTTTCTTCAATATGGAGTTTTTTTATGAATCAGAAGTTCATTTTCAGTGAATATTTTTTTTTAATCTGCTCTTTCCTATAGTTTTTTTTATGCATTTTTCAAAGTCACAATGGTCTATCTACTGTGTCCAGTGCAGGGAATTGAACCCTGGATTTTAGAATTTAAATCAGTAGATTTATCATTGTCCCACCAGGCTATTGAATTGTTTGTAAACTTTTATGAGTGAATTTGCTGTTTATGATTTTCTTTCTTGTTTTTTTGTTTTATACTGAATATGGAAAATGTCTACATTGGGATAATGTAAATAAATTACTGCTCATCTGTAAATAAAAACCTTTATTCATAATATATGTTGTTCTTTTGTTAGTGATCAGAGGAAGATTTCCACCCCATGAACCAATTACAATTTTACAGATCCAAAGGTATGGATAAAATTTCTTCAAACCTTCTGTTCAGGAAAATTTTAATCAAAACAATGGAGCAAATGCCAAAATATTGATTTTTCATATATCTGAAATTCTCAGGACCATTTTTTGATTTTGGCTCGATTTTTTACTTATCTATCCTACCTGATTACCACTAAATAACAAAGAAATTTCCAGACATGAACACATTCAGAACATAAAGCTATTTAATACACAAAAATCCAGCTGCTCTGATACCCTAGAACATGATCTAATTTTCATCCACAGTCTTCTCAAATTAAGTGAATCTTGCCAAAAGTATCAATTTTTTACTCCCTCCCCTAAACTTAAGTATGCTATCTGTACACTTGTGAGGTGTCTTCCAGATCCTTGAAATCTGTTAGAATTTAGTAAATGCACCAACAAAGGCTATAAATACCACTAAATCAAATTCTAAAACTAACCTAAAAACTTTGCTCTTTCTTTTTTTTACACATTAAATACCACTCTTCCTTCATGAAACTTCTGGTCTAAAAGAAGCGAGTCAAGAACTCTCCAACATTGCTTATCATAAAACCTGGCAAAGTATCTAAGATAACAACAACCATTCTTATCGATACCTGCAAATTCAAAACTCTCAGTATTAACTTAGTATTACTACACAGAAAAAAAATAAATCCAGCACACCCTAAGAATTAACAAAAGGCTCTGTCTCCGAGATCACTTTTGTACAACTCTACCTGTGTAGTTTCCAGCTTTGGCTCTTTAAAGTCACCCCAAAATACATAAAACATCCCCTTGCACCTTATTCTTTCATATGTTGACTCTTAGTCCTACAATCTTGCAAAAATTTCTTGTTCTGCTACTCAAACCTTCACATCCAATGAATTTACTACTAACAACTATTTTGATTTTGTTCAGGAAATTATTTCTTTACCTTCTCACCCTGACCACTTTATGGCCAGTTCTGAAGTTACTTCTCTTTTCATCAACGTTCCTGTTCATGAAACTATTGACATTTGCTTTTCTAATATTTTTAATGATAATTTCTCATAACAAGTGGTTTAAACTGTAACAACTTTAACCTTCTACTATAACACACACACATTCTCTTCAAAGAAACCTGTTTGGCCATATATATGGCAATGCTATGGGGTCAGCACTCACCACAACTTTAGTCAATACCTTTCTGTGCCACTTTGAATGCATGACTGGACAACTGCTCTACTAATTTCAAACTTGTCTTCTTCTATAAATGATATATATACATGATATTTTGGTTTTACTCCATTTTTAAGATCATGATTCATTTTTTTTTTTTTTTACTATTTAAATTCCCACTATCCCTCAAACAAATCCATTCATGGACTTTTCTAATCATTCAGCATTGACCTTAAATATTTTTCAACCTCCATCTAACAGGAAAAACTTTCAGTGATTGGTCACCCCTTTTGTTAATATCACACTCCTATGTAATAAACAATCTCAAATTTTTCTATTTAAACTATCAGCATTTGCACAATGAAATAAACTTCTTACAAAATGTTCTAAACAAAGAACAGCTCTGTTTATATAAAGACACATAAAGCAGGTAAAAAACCAATGACATCTGTCTAGTGAGCTGGTTCTTAGAAGTTTTAATGTACTTGAATGTACAAAATACAAGCAAGTGCACCAGAATGTAGTCAAAAACAAACTCATTAGACAAGTAATCCCCATCAACAGTTACTACAAGGACAGCTTTCCCACTAAACTATTATGCAAAATAACTCTCAACTTTCTCAAAAGTAAATATAAACAATGTCTAAAAAAACATCATTTCAAAGTTGCTCCATTATTCCGACTCTCTCCTTTCTTGGTAAACAATGTGCAATTTAAGAAAAATTAATTTTCAAGTATGCTATTTTATTTTATCCTGAGGTTAACCTTTTAACCAAAAGATTTATTTTAAATATTGCATACCAATCCCAATACATTCATAGATTGTTTATACTTGTACATAAAATAGCTCAGCATTTACCACCCTTTTGTGACCCATGCCCCCCTTTAATAAATATGATTTCTTGCATGCCCTCTCCTCTCTTTTTATATGAGTGAAAGAGTGAGTTAAGTGGCAAGATATAATACATGGATACACATTCAAATACTATATGTATTGTAGTAATTATTTTCATTAAAAAAATATGTATTAAAATGCTTAATTTTTCATCATTACACTAATGACTCCTAACTATTTGTGCCCCTCCAAGAGGTCATTTGTAACCCCCTAGAGGTGGGGAATTCTGAAGTAGCTGCTAAACTACTTGGATTAATAAAAACAACATACCACTTTTTCTAAAATAACAGCTTCAAAAACATGCCAAGTAGCCATTCCAATGTAAGAAGCTCTCCTTATTAAAAAAAAATCTTCCAAAACTAAATAACACAGCAAGCTTGTTTCATCTAAATCTCTTTTAATGTCTGTCCTATCCTGTATTTACTTTTTATAAAGTCTTATGACTGAAGTTGTTGTTCATTAGTTTACTGTCTTTTATTCTGTTTTATGCTGAAGAAGGAATATGCCTATTAGGAACATTCAAATATAGATAACTTTGTTATTCATCTACATATAAGAAAGCTGTTCATCATATCTGTAGCCCTTCTGTTCCTGGTCAAATTAAAATTTTCATTCCATGAATTGCATGATTGCAATGGAGTAGACAAAACACATAAAAACAAAGCAATAGAACAGATAAAATGAAAGAATAAGAATTAGCAATAAGAAAGAAAAAGAAAAGTTTTACACTTACATTTATGTGTGGTAGAAAGTTACCTTTTTTAAGAATATGAAATATAGGTATATTTCCACGTATATATACATATAATGATGTTTATTTTTGGAAAGGTAAATGCCTATAAAATAGCTCCTTAAACCACTGAAGCTTTTGGTAATTATAATTTTACCTCACAAACTCTGAAAACCATTAGGGAATTAATAAGAATAAAATTAGAAAGCCTATTCAGGTAATATAATATTATTGTGTTAACTAAACAATTTAATTTCTCCAAGCTAGCCACTGTAATGTTTTACTTTTACAATGTTGATATGATGTGCTTTAACATTTCTCATTACAAAGTTACAAAGAGTCAGCTTGAATGATAGCCTTTGAGTTCCCTCTAAAAGAATGAAAATTCAAGTATGGGCAGAATACAGGTATAACTAACAATTTGCTTTGAATACACTCATAAATAATGATAACTTTCTTGAAAACATGACTGTTATCTATTACACCATTATACATGTACATCACAAATGTACCATTAACAAATACGTAGAGCTAATTTATAGCTTTTTATGTTATCTAAATAAATACACTTGGATCAACGAGCAGCTTTTGTGCAACTTAAAATGTAAAGACAGAAACGTTTAAGATATATTTGTCAATATGAGGATTAATCCCATTTCTCTGGAAGATATTTTTCATTACAAAAGTAAATTACTGATTACTTAACAACAGTTAGATGATTCATTATACGAGTTAAAAATATCTTGAAAATATACAATTTGGTGGGTGTGACCAAATGGTTTAAAGATGTCCATGGTCATAGAATACAGAAGCAAAAACATTGTAGGTAACTGTCTAATTCTTAATAATAATAATAATTAAAAAAAAAAAAAACATGGACAGATAGATACAAACTTTTCACATGTTTATTAACTAGCTAAATTATAGTTGATAAAAGATAAAATCATTCAACCTAAAAGATGTTAATAATAAAAAATAAGATTGAAAAATGAAGATAAAATACCTATAAAACATTTTAATAAACATAACAGTGACAGAAGGCTCAACACATGTTATTTAGCTCTTCATACTGATAAATTTTATCAAGTTCATACTTGGAGTGAATGACTTTATGCCTGAGCTATAACTTTTGTCTCTTTTCGAACTTACTTTCACATAACAGTTACTACATTAATTTTAACAAGTGGTCATTTATATCTGTTCAACACTGCTCAAACTCCATTACAAAATATTATCTAAGATGTGCTTATAAAGAGGAAACAAACAATTTCCTAACCTAAAAATGTATTTCTCATAGATACTCATCTTTTCACACAGATAACTTTTTTCCTCTTGAGTTTGCATGTTCTGCCAAAGAGACTTGCAAGCCACCGGCCTTGTAAAAACTCCATCCTAATTTCACATGAACACACATGAATTTTTGCCACTGCATGATGTCATAAAGCAGCAGAACCCCCCGCAACATGAGTGCAACACACCTCCATGCCCAATGACTCTCTCTACATTCACGCTCATGAATCCTTCTTTTTGATGGAGCAATGAATAAATGTACATAAGAAAAGTAGGGAGGATGGGTGGGAACATGTGCAAGAGATGATTATCTATCGGAAATACATTTTCATGTAAGGAAAATGTTAACTTCTGAAATGGTACCTCACCTTTTCACACAAACAGTTAGAATTCCATGTTGAAATGATGGAGAGATCGGTGCAAAGATTACCCAGATGAGCTCCCTTCAGTGTGACACCTGATGGCAGGGGATCCATAGAGGAATGCCCATGGGAGACTGTATTGTTTTGTTTTTGTCAGTACAATGTGGAATGGACCAGTAATAGAGGAACCATCTGTCCACTTGAAGACTGTGATGTATCATAGCTTGATATGTTGGGTGAGCCACACTACACGCTGTTGTCACCTCAGCCCCACTTCTCACCATAGAGGGACCTCTTGTTCTAGTCCCAGCTGTTAGGTCTCAATCAGTGAGGATTCTCCATGGTCCACCAACCCAGCAACTGGAAGCTGGCAAGTAGCAAGGATCTCCCATGCTCAAATCAAAGAGTGGGTAGGGAACTTTGCATAGGAAAGACCTGGAGAATGTGCTTGGATCCCCATCCGTCCTTCAGTATGAAAAGGTCTTTTACTGAAGACAGTGCAACAGGTGATCATTAAAACCTATTTTTACTGTCTGGTGCTGGCTTTTTCCATTCTAGTCCATGGAATGGAAATGGTCTGGATTAGACATGAAAAGTAATATGATATATACAGAGATATCAAGAAGAAACCTCAAGTGGTCTTGCAGAACACCCCATCTCACAGTGGGCACTTGTATAGTCAGGGCAGATAGTATGAGCATACCCTGGGAGGCAAAATTAGCCATATAGTGGGATCCTATAGTGATTGTGAGATAAGAGAAAGTTTTTGTACGTTCACCTGCCCATAGATGGATATTGGATGTTTATACTTACAGAGACTAGACTGCCAGGTGGAGTAGATAGTTAACAAAGAAGAGTTGAGTGGTAATCCACATGCTAGCCTGGAGAAGAGCATCAAATGTTGGTAAAGAAGAGTAGTTATAGAATGTGGGAGGTGATATATTTGATGAGAAGAGACACTAAAGAATTTATGATCATCCACCCCCAAAGAGGTATAGACCAAATGGATGATCAGGCAGTTCCATCTTGAAGGGTGGAAGGAGAGAAAACTCGGGTATAGGACGAGACACAAGGAATGAAAAGGACAATGATTGGAACACCTAAAGGAGGAAGACTGTGACAAACAATGACCAGCCTGGACAGATACAGGATGCTGTGTGGTACTGAATGAGCACAGTTAAGTGATATAGTAAGAAAGGTTATGGGAGAAAGATGCGACTAGTAAGCCATGTTACAGATGGTTATAGAAGGAAGGACCCAACCAGGATAAAGTAGAAGATAAGTGCAACTTAAGAAAATGTGAGAGAAAACCATAGCATAGACATCTGAACGACAGTGGTCACAGGCAAGAAGGAGAAGGACATATGTGTCCAGAGAGGATACAACAAACAAGTTACTAACGGTTCAAGAGGATCCCAGGTAAGAGCATGGAGAATCACAGTGAGATTCCAGTCAGGCAAAGACGAAGATGGTGAGGTCTGTGGATAAGGAAAGAACAGAAGAGGGCAGAAAAAACCAGTGAAGAAATTATCATGTGGCATTGGAATAGACTCAAATACTACTAGAAGTAAAAGAAGAGGGAATATGCTATGAAGTAGGGTGGTCAGAGTGGAATTAGCAAAGTGGAGACTAATAGTGATAGGTATGCCGTGTACTGTGGGACCTGAAAAAGGAAGAAGAGTGACCAGGCTGGGACAACAGGAAGGTACACAAAGGATGGTACAGCTCAAAGAGCAATGAACCAGAAAAATCCTATATGTGAAGATGAAGGGATGTCACTCCCTGATAAAACAGTGATGTGTGAGGTTGGACCAGAAGGGATGGTAGTAAGGAAGGTAAAGGGGAGGCTTGGACAAGAAAAGATGGATTATGGAATCCAAGGTTGGGATTGCCAGTGAGGGGCCACTAATAGGATACAAAAAATGGGTGTTATGAATCACTGTAAGAATCTAAAGGAGAAGGTGGAGACCTGCAGAAAAAGATGGCACCAGACCAGACAGAGCAAATCTGGTTTTAAGGGGTGTGGCAAAAGCAATTATGTGGGAAGTATTAAGTTAAGAGTAGATAAACGGAAGATGTGGAGAGATCATTCTATGTGTAGGATGTAGCTTCATCCAGAAAGAAAGCTCACAACGTTGTTCAGTGAACCTGTAACATGAAAGGCTAGGAAACTCACCCAAATGGAAGGAGCACAAAGTCAGGAAGCAAGGGGACCTGGAGTGTGTGTCCTCTTTGCAGTTGACGTGAGACAAGACAGTGAATGTGACCAAATGATTCAGAACTAACTGATTCACAAGGAAAGGAAAGAATTGTGATGATACCTGATGGACAGAAAGCAGTTTTAAGGTGTGATAAGTGGGGAACATCCCTCCAGGGACCAAGAGCCCAAAGTCAGACAGTCATTCAGAGGTATACCCCATCCTCAGTGAGAATCGTCCATAAACAGGTGAAAGTCTAGATTGTAAGGAAGTAAGACCAGTGAGTATGACACCAGATGGAAGTGAAATGAAAAGTGAAGGATGGATGGTGTATAGGACATAGGACCAGGATGGGAGAAGAGCTAAGACGAGGTACAGAACTGGTGGATCAAGATTAGAACAAACGAGAAAATCAAAAATAAGGGGGAAGATTGATGGTAGTCAGCTTAAGCCCATGATACAAAGGAATCAGGGACACCACCAAATTCCTTCAGAGAAGAGGCAAAATGAAAGAACCAAAGAAAGGTGGAAGGGAGACAGACTTGAGATAGGAGGATACCTTTCCAAATAGTTCTAACAAGAGAGGAACAACAGAAGAAGAAAAATGGTAGAGGAGGTGGAATGGGCTATAGAAGCAATAAAGGAGAGATCTAGATTTCTGAGAAAGGTCATACGGGGAACATTGAAGGGTTATTGACATAAGATGAAGGGAGAAGAGGTACCAAGGAAGGGTAGTGAAAAATTCAAAAAGAAAGGAAAAGTTAGCTTTAGAAAGGGAAATAGCATGCAATGAATCCAATCCTTCAAACTAGCAAAGGTTACTTTGAGGATTAGGTCATTCCAGGAATGGGAAATGTAAATGACTAAAAGTGGGAACAAAGGAGACAGGCAGGGAGTATGAGACATAAACTGCAGGAGAAAAGGTGAGCCAAAAATGAAGTGGCATGTACAGATTGAACAATTGAGGAAGTAAATATAAAGATATCATAAGGAAAGGTTTATGTAGAAGCAAATAGGAAGTATCAAAAGACAATGGAGAAATAATGTGAAGAAAGTCACAGAGTGTCATTCATTAAGTAGAATAATTCACAATATAAACCTAAAGGTAGAAATTAGTATTCCAATTCATCCTCATCATTTTCAGGTAAAAAATTGGGGAAGTGAGTGAAAAGGATAGGAGCAGAGGGTTCCACTTGCATAATGGACCCCACCATACAATGGAAGATGGCTATAACATCTTCCACAAGAAAAGAAATTCCAGTAGAATTTGTTAATTTGTTCTGTGTTAAGAGATTCTTCATTCACATCAATTTTAGAAATATTCACATTAAATTGTTGATTCATGTTAATTTTAATAAATTCAATCAAGTTGAAATTTGAAAATTTTTGAAAAAAAATCATAAATCTCAGCAAATTTAAAAACATCAGTACACTACAGTGCCTAGGAGAAGAATAAAGATGCACAACATGAATTTAAAGGAAGTCGTTACTCATGGAGGTGCATTACATTTCTAATGGTGAAGGGTTCTAATCTATGATGACATTATCATGCAGTAGAGGAAATTCATATGTTTTCACATGAGGTTATTTGGGAGTTTTCACAAGCAAATCTCTTTGGCAGAATGTGTGAATTCAAGAGGAAAGAGCAACCTGTGTAAAGAGGTGAGGTATCATTTCAGAATCTGGTTGTACAGTGCAGTAAAAATTAATGTTACATTTTTGATAAGTTACTGAGTGAGCATTAAAATGCTACTTAAAATATGTCAAAAATAGTAGCAAATATTCTGCGACATGACTGCTGGAGTCACCTTCAGTATTTTATGGAAGCCTAAAGTTAATCACTTTAATAATAATAATGCATGTATTATGTACGTGTGTCTATCCATATTATATATAAAGAAAAATTATTAATAAGTAAAAATAATTGTGAAATAAATCTTCAAATGCATTTGTAGATAACTGCTTGAACAAATGTAAAAAATATAGGATAACTATAAGGAAAAATCCTGCAGTTTAAGCAGGTTAAGCACACTAGTTACATTAAAGGAACACAAATAGCTTTCAATCTAATATACAGGCACTGATAAATGTTTATTAGATCCAAACAGGACTCTGTTTACTGTATTGTAAGCAACATTCAACAGTGTAAAGTCTATTAAGCATTACACACCACAGCAGGATAAACTTAAAAGACAAATCTAGTAATTAAGTATATGACTAGATTATTCTAGACTAAACAAATTAAATTTCCTTGAATAATTTCCTAAGTTATACACCCTCATATGTACATTGATATAAAGAATATGACTTAGTATAACTCTACCTGTTTATTCAAAGCTAAGCATAAATGACATCACAACATTAATTTTGGTCTGATATTTGGAAATACAAGTAGTAGCAACTTTACTATTGCCTCACAAATGTAAATGATATGAAAGCACAAATGTAAAGAGATAACTGCTTACAAAAATGTATTTGTTTTATCTTCCTACTGTGAAAATACAAATACAATCATCCAATTGCTTCTTTCAAAGTTCTGTTTTTCAGTACCAAAAAACAAAATGCAAAATCTTGTTTCACGATGATGTTTTCACAAGAAAAAAATTTGGATTTCATTTAGAAACCAATTTGTTTTCTTCTAATTCAATATATCTAAATTTCTGCATCAATTAATTTTAAATATATTATAATTATATATATGCAATTTTGGCATTTATTAATTTTCAAAATTAACAAAAACAGAATATTAATACACACTAAGTCCAATGCAGGCATGGGATTAAAGGAAGTTTTGCTGAAGAACAGTTGAGATTTTATCTTTCTCTCTGTCTACAGGGTTGTTGAAAAAAAACTGTTAAACTAAATCCAAGTTCACTTGGAAGAAGACTGTCAGGTCACACAAGTCCCAGTTCTTTCAATGCAGTTTCTACCGCATCTTCCTTTCAGAATAGGGACAAATTATTCATTGTTACCAAGGTTAAGAACAGAAATCAACTAATAAAAGCTTGAAACATTTTGTGAAATATTCTTTCAATACACATCATATTTTGCCAATTCTTTATTCAGTGCTAAAAGTTAAACATGCTCCACATAAACATTCACAAACACTGGTAAATCATTACAGATGCTCTTTAGCAGAGATGGAACTACTACTTTCAATCTCACACAACTTGTTATATAAACATTAACATAATATGCATTCATTCATATATTTCAACCTGGATAATCAATATTAAAGAGTATGAAAATCTGATAGTTGAATACATGGACTACAATCAAAGTTATTAACATCATTTATATCTTTAAGGGAACGATTCTGTACAGCCATTACTTTTTAATGCTATTACGAACAAAAATAATAATTTAATGAATTTTTCCAAATAAGAAAAATCTTTCATATACAACTAACTTTATGAGTATGTTACTAAGTTATTCAAGTGAAGATCATACCTTGTTCTTAGCTCTCAAACTGTTTTACTAAATAGCAGCACTTTACTTACTTTATTAGCACCCTTCACACATCTACTCTACTGATGTTATACATAGTTAGACAGAAGAAAAACATTCTTACTTCCTGCAGAAGATCTTGAGCTGCAATTGCTTTCAAAACGTTTTTTTTACTGGTTTCTTGTATTTCTCCTCCAAGAAGTAACTCATCAAGGATAAAATAGGCCTTCTCAAAGTTGAAAATAATATCTAATTCACACACCTATAAAAAAAATCATGTAAATTTAATTCAACACAGAAGACAGACAGATGCTACAAATCTATTCTACAAGTAAAAAATTTTGTTTTTAATTTGTTTATTTATATTAATAAGTAGCGAGGTATTTTGTCTTTGGAATTTTGATATAGTCATCAAACTTATGCAATGCATATTCTGTACAAAATTGTTTTTAAACATTATGATAAACTGATTCAAGTCAGACCCTTAAATAATCTGAAACTTAGATAAATTTTAATCTCACATGTTTACTGCCCTGTAAATTTTAATGACATCAAATTTAAGTCATTTATTCAGAACTGAAAATTTATCTTAACTCTTTCCAGGCCAGATGGATGTCACTGATATGCTTTGATTTTTTTACCCACTTACAGCAGAAATACTTAACAAAGTTACATGAAACATAGTACCAGCTTACTAAACAATATCTGGTTTCAGCTTTAAAAAAATTATGTAATTTAATTTAGCTTTCCTATCTTTTTAAGTTGTGAAATTTTTAAAACTTTGTTGTCATTTGCTGTTTTTTTTTTTGGAAAAGATTGAAAATAGTCCCTTTCATTTGAGAACATATATTTTTTTATTGTTAATCCAGACAGTTTGAACTTGATTTATATTCATTAACATATATTTGTTATATGTTCTTTTACAAATTCACTAGTCACTACTACTGGCTATAAATTTTAAAGGACATGGAAAACTGAGAAAAATTTATTGGTGACCTAGGACATGACTTTTCCAAATGGAATAGCCATTACATTTGTTAACTCTATCAGCATGGGCTCGTTCCTAGGGACCAACCTTGTAACCATTTTGTGCTTGTTCTAGTTTTCATGCTATAACTTTTAAATTAGTAACCAATATTCTTCACAATATTTTGCTGATCATCAGTAAACATTACAAGACTTTTGCATGCAAAATATCAATTTTTTTATCACATTTGAAGATTTTTTAAGTAATGTTTTTCTCATGCCTTTTTTCTTTTCAAATATTGACTATCCAACATGCAAAGTAATTTTGATTTTAAGATTAAAAATACATTTATGCATCAGAAAATTTTAAAATTTCAAATGCAAAATCTTTATAACCTCCAGATAATTATTAAACATTTTAAAGAAAAAAACTATATTTTATGTGTTAATTTCACTATCATATCTCTGTACAGGTTCATTCAATTTAACTGACCTCATAACCACCATAAAAATTAGGAAATAAATATAAATTTAGCTTTTTTTGTTCTATAATGACTACAAATTATTACACAAATACACAAATGTTTAGTCTAAATATCTTAAATCTCATAAAATTATACATCTATATATATATATATTTGTTTTTATTATATTGACCTTTCAGCTTTGCCTGACTAACACTGCAGAAGTTGCAATGAAACAGTGCACATGCACTCATGTTACCTTATCCAATAATATAAAATTGGCCTTTGCAAAGTGAACTGTCTTGACTGTGTTTTAGTGGCCTAATATTTTTTGAAATACAGTTACATTTCACTTAATACATTATATATGTATATATCAGGTCGACAAGAAATTAATGTCACTTTTTTTTTGGATAGAAAAAAAAACCTGAACAACTTATTTATCAAAACAAAACATTTATTAAATGAAATAGTCTCCATTCTTATCAATAATGCTTTTCCATCTTACAATCAGGTTGTTAATGCTCTGATTAAAGAAAT